TTTGGTCCAGTCGTGGGGCCTGAACTCTGGGCCTGGGCACTGTCCCTCAGCTCTTTCAGCTCAAGGCTAGCGCTCTACCACCTGAGCCACAGTACCACTTCCGGTTTTTTTCTTTTTTGCTTATGTGGTGCTGAGGAATCAAACCCAGGGCCTTGAGCATGCAAGGCAAGCGCTCTACCACTGAGCCACCTTCCCAGCCCAGTCCATGAGACTTTTATCTCCAATTAACCTCCAAAAATCCAGAAGTGGTGCTGTGGCTCAAGTGGTAGAATGCTAGCCTTGAGTTGAAGAGCTGAGGGACAGCACCCAGGCCCAGAGCTCCACGACCAACAAAAAAAGAAAAAAAAAAAAAGATGACAACACAGAAACAGGCAAAAAGTTTCATATATTACGTTTAGTTAAGCAAAATAAATTTAAAATGGTATAAGCACTGTGGAAACAACTATAAAATATGTCAACTAAGACAGATCATGTAAGCAAACTGCCAAGCTGGGTGCTGGCGGTTCATGGTTATAATCCTATCTAGTCAGGAGGCTGAGCTATGAGGATTAAAGTTTGAAGCCAGTCTGAGCAGAAAAATCCATGAGACTCTTATCTCCAATTACCAGCAAAAAGCTGGAAGTGGAGCTGTGGTTGAAGTGGTAGAATGCTAGCCTTGAACAACAGAAAAAAAAGCCAAGTAAGAGTGTGAATCTCTGAGTTCAAGCCTCAGTCTCAGCACAAACAAAACAAAATGAAACATCCTAACCCAAAACCCTAATCATTTAGATGATGAAACTGTAGATGATCTTTTTGTTTTGAGGAAATTTATAGTACTGTTATTTGATTGCACCAGCACTACCAATTTAGTGAGCATTACATGATTTTACCAAACTTCTGTCAATACAGAGATCTTGCTATATTCTATATACTGTCAGGTTAAGTGACAACTCATGTGATTTAATTAAGGTAAAGAAATGCAAATATGATGGGGCTGGGAAGGTAGCTCAGTGGTAGAGTGCTTGCCTTGTATGCATGAGGCCCTGGGTTCGATTTCCCAGCACCACATAAGCAGAAAAAACCAGAAGTGGCGCTGTGGCTCAAGTGGTAGACACTAGCTTTGAGCTGAAGAGCTGAGGGACAGTGCCCAGACCCAGAGTTCAGGCCCCACGACCAGCAAAAAAAAAAAAAAAGAAATGCAAATATGAAATTCCTTTCACATATTTCAAAGTCTTCTTATACAATATTTGGCAAAAAATCTACTTAAAAATCATCCTGGTTTCATTTTCTGGTTATAATAAGAGACTTATAACAATATCATAAAGTCTGAAAACAGAACTTGATTTGTACTTGGTTGGGCACTGACTCATCTTCAGCCACAAAAGTGAAGCAAGCTCTGCAGTTCTACCAAAGAGGTGTCTGCATGTTAAATCTGCCTACTGAATATCTCTTGGATACAAGAAGCTGGGAAGTCTTCCCTCTTCAAATAGCTGGCTTCCATCAGTTCATCAGTAAGCAATAGACAAACTCACTACATACACCAGAGGGCCATAGCACTAAGCAACTTTTAGTCTTGATAAGGCTTTAACATGTCTGGCACATTCCTTACCAAGTGCAGTTACTTCCTCTCCTCCTTACCAAGCTATCTTCTGAGTCATTTTGGGGGGCTGAAGGGAAGGATGAAGTCTTGGTTTACTTACTACCTTAGCCTGGTACCAGTCATCTTATTGCCTTTTAACTACCAGTAGTAAATTTTTTCTCTAGTTCTAACAACACCTATTTTCTGTCACAGAATCTAACAGGTGACCTAATGGTTCATCTGGAAAAGAGATGAAGACTTTTTCTATTAGTAAAGCCATCATTCACAGATTAAAAAAATACAAACTGAAAGCACTCAATTTCAATTCTTTAAAAATAACTGAGCAGGGCTGGGAAGGTGGCTAAGTGGTAGAGTGCTTGCCTTGCATGCATAAGGCCCTGGGTTCGATTCCTCAGCACCACATAACAGAAAAAAAAACCAGAAGTGGCACTGAGGCTCAAGTTGGTAGAGTGCTAGCCTTGAGCTGAAGAGCCAAGGGACAGCACCCAGGCCCAGAGTTCAGGCCATGACTGACCAATAAATAAATAAATAACTGAGCAATCAATTTCTATTAAGTAGATCCAAGTTGAAATAAAAATGTAAAAATAGAAGTTCCTGGGAATTCTAGCTTCATCCTGGAGTTCTTGCCTAACTGAAAAAGCTTTTAGAGAAGTAGAACTTCAGTTGCGTAAGTCTAAACACACAGCTAATGAGCTTCTCTGAGCTACATTTATAAACTGAGGTACAGGATTACCACAAAGGTTAAATAAAATGGTATTTATAAAGGAACAATAGTAGGAGCTCTGTAAAGGGAGGCTCCTTTTCCTCCCTAATTTCCTTTTGTGTTATGGTCTAAAGAATGTAGAATTACTTAGTATTAAAAAAAATGCTAGCTCAGTATTCCATGCAATTAACAGACCTATATGAAAGCCGGGTACTGGTGGCTCACAACTGTAATACTAGCTACTCAGGAGGCTGCGATCTGAGGATTGCAGTTCAAAGCCATACTGGGCAGAAGTCTTTGAGACTCTTATCTCTAATAAATTATTCAGAAAAAGCCAGAAGTAGCACTGCAGCTCAAGTGGTAGAGTGCTAGCCTTGAGGACAAAGAGGCTTAGAGACAGTACCCAGGCCCAGAGTTCAAGCCCCAGGTCTAACAAGAAGAAGTCCCACCTGAAATACCTTAAAAATTCCTATTTCTTTTTTTTATCATTTCAACTTGGATATATTTAAACTAACAGAAATCCACTGCCCAGGAATTAAAAATATTTTGTCATTATCTCCATTTCTAATTTGAAGAAAAGCATTATTTATGAGGTCTACTCAACATTTCCATCAATGAAGTCCCTAAAAAGTTACATAAATGTTAATAAAAGATTTTAAATGTAGACAGTATACACATTTGTACCATAACAACTAAAAGATGCAGAGTGATTTCCTAATTTTATTTTTATACCTTTATAAGAGTCTGTTTATAAGAGACAGTTTGCAGAAAAGCACTGGTGGCTAATGCTTATACTCTTAGCTACTCAGGAGGCTGAGATCTGAGGATCACAGTTCAAAGTCAGCTTGGGCAAGAAAATCCATGAGACCCTTATCCCCAAATAACCACCAAAAAGCCAGAAGTGGAGCTGTGGCTCAAATGGTAGATCTCAGGGCCAGTACCCAATCCCTGAATTGAAGCTCCAGGACCAGCATGCATGTGCACAACACTAACACACTCGTGTATGCGTAAAATTTCAAAAAAAAGATTGCAGAGTCCCTCCCTCCAAAATAATTTTAAAAAGGATGGACTCAAGGATAAGGAATTGGGATATGCTAGAAATAAATTAACTCAGAAACTTTAGACATACTATTCTACTTGCTTTATGTTGAACCACCTATATATCCCTTGCCTGAACTTATAAGGAGAGCAACGCCTGATGCCTTAAGTCACTTTCCCAAATTCTCACAGGGTTTAACTACCAGAGTCCAGCCTAAAACCCAGCTGGTCTGATGAACAGGTGTGATTTTATCACCTGTTCTCTTTGGAGACCTTCAACAACGCTGTGTCACAACGAACTCATGCCCAAACCCACAACAGGACACACCTTCTCTTTCATGCATGAAAGTTCACTCTCAGCCTCTTCCAGGAGATGGTCAGCCTCCCTGAGTTCTGCACGACGCTTCAGAAGGGTCTTCTCTAAACACTCAATTTCATCTACAATATCTTCATGGTGTTTGAGTGATTTTTCTATTTCTAGATCAGTTATAAGGCTCTCAATATTTCCATCAATGAAGTCCCTAAAAAGTTACAGAAACATTGAAAGATTTTAAATGTATAGTATGCACACTTGTAGCCTAACAACTTAGAAGATGCACGACAATTTCCTAATTTTATTTGAGATTAGACGAGAGGCAGCTACCTCAGGTTAAATGTGAAGTCTAAGTTGACCTTTTTACTAAATACAGAATACTACTGGCAATAAACTCTTAGCAGTAAAATATATGATGGAGTTGTTTCTCCTTTTAAATGTAACAACAAATGATATGGGTACCTGAGAAGAAAAAGGTTTGGTATAAAAGATATCCCTCACCTTTGTTTTGACAGTTAAGGAGGAGTTATGCAGGGAGTGGGGCAGGCATTTCAGCCAGAAGCACAATTTTAGGCCAACATATACAAGGGGCAATGTGCTCAGGGAGACTACAGGAAAGCAAGTGGCTCAGACCATGCACAGTGGGGAAAGGAGCTAATAAAGGCAGGCAGGGTTAAGAATATGGAGGGGCTGTATATTTATATTTTGCTGAGTCCCAATGTGTCACAACAGAGAGGAGAGAAAGCATTAAGTCATGGGAGGACAGTATGGAAACCACGACAGTGACCTAGAATGCAACTGATGAAAGGCAGCAGCTCTGGAAATGGCAGAAAGGGACCCATGGAGAGCTCTTTGTATGCACAGTCAAAGGAGGTCAAATGGATGCCTGGGAGAGTGAGAGGTTGAAAGCCCTGCCCTATTTTCTGCTAGGGTAGCTAGTGAGGGGGACTACGTTAATCTCTGCATAGGACTACAGGAGCTGATATGGATTACTTCCTGAGAGGATTTAAGACTTGAACTGCCCAAAATGATAGTAACCATGTGGCTACTAAATTAATTTAAATTCTGTTCCTGAGTTGCAATAGCAGCCACATTTCAAGTGCTCCATAGTCACACATGACTAGCAGCTACTGTTTTGAGCAGTTCAGATCTAAAACGTTTCTATTACCTCAAAGACTATCTTAATTAATGAATAAAAATGTAAGCTACAGAATTATATGATTTATAAAAGCATAATTACTTTCGCTGTTGATGTTTTGGGATGGTTCCATGCAATTCTTCTACTTCAAACTCTAACTCTTTCTTCTCTTGCAAAAGATCATTAATATTATGATGCAGCTCCTCCTCTTCTTTCTCAGACTGATGCTTAGATGCTCGTAGCCACTCTTCTTCTCCTTGCTCTGTGTTTAAACGTTCCACTATATCTTCTAATCTAGAAACCTCATTTTCCTGAAGGAAAAAAACCAAACCAAAACAGAACAGTAATGTAGTACTGAAACATGAGAGACTATCTCCCCTTTCCTGACAAAGGAATTTCAAGTAACTGGTTAAAGTGGTGTAAATGATCTAAAAAATTAAGTCAATTAAAGAAAAATCAAGTCTAGTTTTTCACACACCATAGATGTGAACTAACAAAACTTTACAGTTCTATTAGTGCAACTGGCTTCATTTACCAAGCCCTTTGTATTAGATAATCCATCTCCAAGAATTCAGTGTCTTAGTGAAGAGATAAGTTGAGGACTCTTCCTCCTCTGGATACTTGAGAGTTAGTTGTCTGAGATGGCTGCCCAGGCAATTTGCCTGGGCAATGAAGAATGAATGGGCCCCAGGCTCAAAAAAATAGTATGTGCAAAATGCAGGGAGATATAAAAGCATAGCTGGAAAACTATATAAAAGCAGTGTGCAATTTAGGAGAGTAAAAGAACCACTTTAAAGATATTATCAATAGATGCTGAACAGATATACTGCTAGGAATTACAATGTGCATCGAAAACCTACAAGGCAGCAGGGTGACAGCTCACACCTGTAATTCTAGCTACTTGGGAGGCTGAGCGAAGGATTATGGTTTGAGACCATCCTGGGCAGAAAAATTCATAAGATCTAAAAAAAATTAGGGTTAGAGGTATAGCTCAAGTGGTAGCTTCACAAGCACAGGGCCCTGAGTTAACATTAGCAATGCCCCCCCCAAAGAAAACATTAAAAGACCCACAAAAGAATAGGAATGACCTCTGATAATAATGTAAATACATTCATGCCTTTTGAAATTTTTAGTCTGACCTATTAAAACAGCACAATGATGTGATCAACTACAGTATCTAAGCCTTTATCTTTCCCTCAATATGCTGAGGGAGGGGAGGAAAAACAAAGACTCTCAGAGTTCAGAGTCTGAAAGAAGCATTTGGAATGTACTTTTATTGCTTGAGGCAAAAAGTTAGAAATCTATCTGGTGACTGGGTTGCAATAATTTCTTGGATCTAGACCACAAAAAGGTATCAAATGGTACAAATTTATACATAAATACAGGACCTACAAATAAAAGTTTTATAGTTATGTTGGTATAACCATGAAGGTATGCTTGCAACATTAATTAGGAAAACAACTCAAAATGGTGTGTACAACAATAACTATGAAAATAAACTGAAACTAATCAACAGATCCCACTATCCAAAGATAATTTCCAGCAAAACTTGCTGAACATTGTTTATATGTGTGTACAGATATGCATGTATATATGTGTGAATAGCTATATATGTGTATACATCATAGGTATATATGTATATGTATATATATATACATTAATACTTGTCAATAGAAAAACACAAAAAATGGTTAATATCTAGATTGCAAGCATTATTATTAAGAATCACTTTTGTGATATAACCCATTCATAAATAGTCAAGTCATTACCATACCCCCTTCTCTGGCACCCTTGGAAGCAGTGTGGACAGAGATATTGTTTTACTTACTAAGTTATGGTGCTCCGGGACATTGCAATGCAGCACGCTCATGGGGATGAGGGGGATAGAGAAGTTTGGGGGAGGAGGTCCATACACAATGGGGGCCCCTGCTGGAGGCGGGCCATAAACAACAGTTCCAGGAGTGAGAGGCTGGCTGTTGTTTGGCAAGGGAGGAGGAGGTGCATACAGAGCTATCCCCTGAGGAACAGGAGACCCATCAGGAAGCACAGTATACATCATGTATCCAGGAGGAGGCACAAATGGGGGCACCTTTTGGTCATCCAGCCCACTCTCTTCCTGGCTATCTCCTTCACAGTCAGCATCTTCAAAGACATAGAACAGGTAAATAGACTTGGAAGGAAACAACAGCTGTTGAGAATAAAATCAATAAAGGTCAAAAGCAGCTTTAACATGCAGATCACAACACAGATTTGTGCCTGGTGCATTGGCTTAAACCTGTATCTCAGAGAGGCAGAGATAGGCTAGTCCAGGAATAAAGAAATTGGTGAAACTCCATTTCAACCAATGACCAAAATGGTCACTGGTTGCATCCCTGCAATACAGGGAAACACAAATAGAAGGGACACACTCCAGACTGGCTGGACATAAATTGAGACCTTAATCTCAAAAATAACCAATGCAAAAAGAGCTGGAAGAGTTGCTCAAGTGGTAGAGTGCCTGTCTAGAAAGTCTGAGGTCCTGACTTCAAACTCAAATACCACCAAAAAGAAAAAAAAGATATTGATTCAAATACTTTCAGCAACCAGCATTTGAGTTTTTCTTATGCCCATTAATTCATACAATCTTCCTGGCTATCTTGTATATAGTATGATTACACGATGAGGGTGCTTGCTTCATATTACATATAAGATCACCGGAGACATGCAATGAGACCAAACAGGCTCAGCACTTAACTGCATGGATGTGTAACAACACTCTTCCATGTGACGTTTTGTTACTTATCTCCCTTAAAAGCAGGAACTATGTTTATCACTAACAACAAAAAAGCAAGCACACAGCACATGATCAGTAAACAGTTTCTATCTTTTGTAGTTTTGAAGATTAAATCTAGGGTCTTAAACACACTAGAAAACCGAACTCTATTGTCACCATATCCCCATTCCAATAAATAGTTGTTGAACAAATGATAGTATGCTTATTTATATATCAACAGTCTCAGAGCAGCAAAAATAATTTGCCTATAATCATACAGTTACATCTGGGTCTGACTCTTCTCACTAATGCTTTGAAAGACAGACTTTGATAACTGTCTTCGAGGCACAAATCAATGACATAATACAAGGATGCAAACCCTCAGGCTCCAAGATTACAAACAAAGCTGCTGCTCAGCTGACTTGAAGGAAGCAGGATGAAAAAAAGTTCCAGAAAAGGAGTGTTATTTGACAACCTGGGTTTTATTAAAGGATGGATAGCAATTGGTTTGAAAGAAGGAGGAGGGAAAAAGACATTCCAGACAGTGGTCTGGAGCTGAGTATATCATCTCAGTGATAAACAGCTAACTTGATGAGCATACATGAGGCTTTGGGTTCAATCCCCAACAATGAGGGAGGAAAATAGCCAAGAGTTGAGGAATCTGGCACACTGTAATAATCTTATGTTGTCAGGTATGATATGGGATATAAGACAGAGGTCATTGGCCAAGATGGGATCAGAGAGAATATTATTATAGAGCAAGCTAAGGAGTTTGGACTATGTCTATGGATCTTAGGGTACCAATACAAGTTTATTAAACAGACAAGAGAAATGCAACTTCTCTTAAGTGATATGACTTACCTCTGTTTGAAAATGATTTATACAATTTACTTCTGATGGGTGAATAGACCCAGAATCCTGCAGCAGGAGGAGGCCCACTGCTGTCATTCCCCTCTGGTGGGCCAGCCCATGATTTCTTAAGAGGAGTCGAGGCTGTGTACTTTAGTCCCACACCAGAGTCCTTGGTGGCCTGGGAACCATGGCTGGAAACCTAAAAGAAATGATAGAGACCATACACTATTGTGGATGCTCTCCTACCTGAGCCACTCCCCCAGCCCTTTTTCATTTTAGTTATTTTCAGGTAGGGACACATGTTTTTTTGCCAGGGGCTAGCCTTGGACTGCAATCTGCAACTTATGGCCTTCCAAGTCATTGGGACCATCCAACACCACATTCAGCTTCCTGACTGAGATGGAGTCTTACTAATATTTCAGCCTAAAATCTTGATCCTTTCAATCTCCTCCACCTCTTTAGTAGCTGTGATTAAAGGCATGTATTACCAAGCTTATTTTTTACTAAAGTGAGAAAGGATTACAGAGTTCCATACTCACAGCTCAGTTAATTCACATCTCTTTGATCTGTGAAAGTGAAAGGCTAAAAGTGTGGTGAAAGCAACCAAACTGATCTATTTATTTCTAGAAATTATTTAAGAATGTCCATCTCCTACTCTGTCTCTTGGTACAGTTTTCTAGGAAAAGCAAGTCCTTGACCACACCAAAATGTTGACTGGGATAATTTTATGCCACAATACTCCATGAGAGAGATGAAACAAATTTTTCTTAAGAGGTCATATTCCTGGGTATCAGTCTTTCTTCTTTTTGTATTCACCTTCACTAGTAGTTTTCTGCCTTTCCTTAACCTAGAAACTGAGACCAACAAAACCCCAACAAATATTCCAGGGAACCGGAGACATTAACTTCCTGCTGTCCTGGGAGCCTGGCAAGGTTTTAAAGTTCACTCTGCTATTTTCTCAACTTCCCAGCCTGGAGGTCTATCCTTGAAGCCTGCACCCAGCTCAAGATTGTAATGCTTTGCTCTAATTTACATCACTTTCACCTCCAGACTGGCTGTACATAGGATATTGGCTTCTTTCAGATTTGTAGGAGAATCTGTCTCTGCTCTTCAGGTTCTAGTTAAGTCTAGGTCCCTGGGATCTAGTGTGTCTGGACTGCTTCTCCCTGACTCCCTGTTCTCCAGCTGAGTAGTGAAATGTTACCCAGCACTTCCGCTTTAGATGCATATTGCTCAAACTCCAATCCTCACTTCTCACATCAGGCACCAAAATCTGACCATTTTGTCTCCCTTCACCAACTTTTTTTTTTTTTTTGCCTCAACTTGGGGTCTGGGTGCTGTCCCTGAGTTCTTTTGCTCAAAGCTAATGCTCTACCGCTGTGAGCCACCGTACTCCTTCCAGTTTTCTGGTGGTTAATTGGACATAAAGAGTCTTACAGACTTTCCTATCTGGGCCAGCTCTGAACTATGATCTTTAGATCTCAGCTTCCTGAGTAGCTAGGATTACAGGTGTGAGCTACCAGCACCCAGTTTTTGTCTCCTTTTGATCCTTCAGTCCTACCTCTTTCCTTCTAGCTCTGCTGATCTGGGTCTGGCTTCTTCTATCCTTCATTTGAATGAGTTTAAACAGTAACACAAAAAGTCCATCTTGTTACAAGCCTAGCTTCCATACTCAGCTAGAATATTCTTCTAAACTCTGATCATAAATACCCCCTTTCCCCTTTCCTGTTTCCTCAGACATAAGTAATTGAAAAGGATTTTATGGTCCTTTTGAAAGAAGCATGATCCCAATCTATTTTCAAGCTTTTTATTTTTCATAGTTCCCAACAAACCCTCTAGCCCTACAAGGTTGCTTGCCATAGCTAAACCTATCCCCCTCTTCTACACAAGTTTCCTTCCTGTCTGCTTGCTAAGTGCTGACCTCGCCCTCCTACTCCTACACATGAAGCTTTCCTCCGCCTTTTTTTTTTTTTTTGCTGGTCCTGGGCCCTGAACTCAGGGCCTGAATGCTACCCCTGAGCCTCTTTGTGCTCAAGACAGCAGTCTACCACTTGAGCCACAGTGCCACTACTGGCTTTTTCTGTGATTAATGGAGCTAAGAGGCTCATGGGCTTTTCTGGCTTCAAACTGCCATCCTCAGATCTCAGCCTCCTGAGTAGTTAGGATTACAATTATGAGTCACTGGTGCCTGGAAAGCTTTCCTTCTTAAGCTTCCTCACGAGATGAAACCCTAACACCTCTCAGAAACTTAGATCTACAAGTCACATGTATGTGACTGTTGAGCAATTACACTGGCATGGCCCATGAGTTCTTTGAGAGGAGGGGCTGTATATTTATGATGGTACTGCCCAGAACCTGGCCTGAACTTTAGTGAATACTGCTAAAAAGAAATGAAATCTTGGTACCTATTTTTCTGTCTGAGCCTTCAAATAACACATTTCTACCTGCTCTCTGGGCTCTTACAGAGCAGCCTCTGTCAGGGAACCCCACGACAGACTAGCTGACCATGAAAAAAACCAATTACCATCATCCACGAGAAGACCCTCTTTTCATGTTAATGGTAAAAACAATGAAAAACCTCAATGCATGGCTTAGTGTAGAAATGTTCTCAGCACCTGTTCCCAAATTTAAGGAAGGGGGTAATGTCACATTGTTTTCAATTGTATACAATTACAGAACCACAGACAGAATTCCTACTTTTGATGATGATGGTGGTGGCAGCATATAATACCAATAGCCTCGTCTTTTGAAAGGATCTGCTATGCTGCTGATGTAATCATTCTGAAAAGAAACTTCCTGTCGGAGTTGAGCGATTTCTTCTAAAATATTTTCAAAGCCTCCTTTGTTATCTGTAAGGAAAGCCATCCCATAAAATTGGCATGAAATCATGTACTTTCTCTCAACAAACAAGAACTAATGAGTTTTGTCAGTTTATCAATGGTGACTTTCAGCCTGCCTGTGGCTAACTGGATTTTGCTAACACTAAGAGGACAAACACATTCTTCAGTCCACAAATTACAAAGTGGTTTAGAGAAAGCAAACATCTGTAAGCATCTCCTCTAAAATAAATTCACAATCTGTCTCTCTGTAATCAAATCTCTCAATATTATACTTAACCAAAATGTCTTCCAAATTTCTTTTAATTTGTTAAGTAATTACTCAGCTATCCACCCAGGAATGATGTTAATTTTATAACTACAAAAACACAAAATCAAAGCTTAATACTTTACCAGCTCCAGTAAGGTCTAGTAAGTTCCGAAGCCTTGTGATCTCTACCCTTTGCCTCTCCATTGTCTCATTCAACTTCTTGATTTCTAGCACTTGTAAGTTTGATCTTCTAGTACCTACGTCTGCTTTCTCCATCTCAATCTGAAACTATTAAAAAATACAAAGTTTTCAATGAGTGAATTACTTCCCAGATATATTTATCCTTGCAAGCTAATTATAATTCTTTAATTTTTATTTACTTTTACCAATGAGGAAGCTACCCTACTTCTTATATTTATACTGTACTGTATCTGACATACAGTGGAGGATGAAGTACTGATAATTGCTCTTCACTGCACAATGAAATATCACTTTCAGTATTTTAGTATTTCAGTCACAGAGGAGGACCCAGTAGAGACAAGAGGTTTCAGATACCAATACTGACCTGCTCCTCTCTCTCCCTGAGAAGATTCTGCAGGAGCTCAATTTCTGCTTCTGCTCGGGTCAGGTCCTCAGCCGCTTGTGCTGCCTTCCTGCTGAATTTCTCTGCTTCCTGGAACTCCTACTGGGACAGAGTATGAGAAGGGCACAATGACATCTCAGGTGGCTATCTTTATTCTTCCTGATTCTCCTGCTTTTGTCAGACTGCAAGCCTGTCTGTCCCAAGCACATATGGTGCCAAGATCCATCTAACTTATATGGTCCTCAATGCTGGGCAGCCTGTCCTGCTCCAACAGGGACAAAAGGGCAGGGACTGCATCAAAAGGAACAAGAGCTTTCTCTTTACTGCTCTATAGTCACCTATGATTGATGTTTCTTTGGCCTCTTATCATTATATATATATATATTTTTTCATTTTTTTCCTCCTATGATCCACTATCTTAATCTCAGTACCTAAGCCCTATAAAGCACCATAACAAACATGACCTTAGTTAGCACTTTATGTGGTAACATTTTTAACTGCACAATGAAAACTTTGAGGTTAAGAGAGATTATATATCAAGCCTCAACACTTCTGTTCAAGTAAATATTGACAGTAATCTCCCTAAGAAGACACCCTACACTGTAAAATAGGGATAAGGGTTTCATTTGATGGTTCCTTTCAGGACTCCACAGGGTCAGAGGGCCATAGCAGCACAAAGTAAATTCTTTGGAGTTTCAATAAGGAAAAAAAATCATCATGTCTTAACAAGAACACAACTTACAGTGACATAAAATAACAACAGACCAACAGGTACAATTTGCTGTATTTTCTCAGCACTGGTGGAAACATGTTCTGATCACATGGACTAACCTCTACACGCTCCTGGTTTATTTTCATAACAGTTCCATGCAGGGACTTGAGCTGGTCTTTGGCAATGGTGAGCTCAGCTGTAGCTAGTTTATCAGAAGCAGCCACAGCTTTCTTCAGATTCTTCAATTCATTATCTAAACCAAGAAACTGCTCCTGAGATTTGGCATCTTCATATTTCTTCTAAAATAAAAGAACCAATCCTTAAGTTGATAAACTATTTGGTAGCAATTTGAATTAAGAAGTTCCAAGTATATTTTAGATATGAGACCCTTGTCTGATGTACAGCTAGTGAAGATCATCTCCCAATCTGTGAGCTTTCTATTTATCCTGTTAGCTATGTCCTTTGCCATGTAGACACTCTGCAGTTTAATGCAAGCCCATTTATCTAGCCTTCCTTTGATTTGTTGTGTTTCTGGATCTTTACTTAGGAAGTAAAATTAAGCAAAATTAAGCCAGACCCAAAGAACATAGGCTGCATGGTTTGGTTTCCCTCATTTGTAGTAACTAAAATATGTCTAGGGTATTCTTAGTAGAGGATCATAATGGCTCAATAGCTACGTGAATATGACTATATATAATGATGCTTATCAAAAAAATGGAAATGGAAATCCAAGAAATGGAAACGAGGTTTTTTTTATTGTACTGTTTACAGATATTTATTCTCCCCGCCCTTTGGTTTATTCCCTGTTGTTACTGTTGTTTATTTCTGTACCCTTTGTCTTGTATATACATTTATCTGACTTGGGGAAGAGAAGGGGAATCACAGAAATGGTGGGACAAAGAGTGAACCAATCTAACAGTGAAACTCATCAGACACTATGTTGGAAATGAACTTTACAACTTAGGGGGGAGGGAATGGGGGGGAAGTGGGTGAAAATGAAGGAAGGGGGTAACACTGATCAAAAAGAAATATACTCATTACCTTACTTATGTAACTATTACCCCTCTGTATATCACCTTTACAATAAAAATTTAAATTAAAAAAAGTAAGCTCCAGAAGGGCAGGGATTCTATTTATGACTGTAGACCCCATGTCTAGAACAAAATCTGACACATAGTAGGTGCTTCATAAATATCCACTGAAAAAATAATCTCAAAAACTAGGATACATTTTCTTATTCAAAAATCTGGATGGTCATAAATTCATCCAGTCATTAAAAATATTTCTTAGTATCATCAATAATCAATGGATATATGAATCTTCAAGATCATTGAAAATCAAGCCTAGGGTATATGTGGTAAAGAAAGAGCATGGCATTTTGAGGGACTGAAAAGAACATTGTGAGGAGTGAGTGAAATAGGCAGATCATGCAGGGTCTTACAGGCTTAAAGACTTCATTCTGTAAGAAAATGAAGACTCTGAGGAGAGGAGGGATTGATACTAGCCAATTGATAATAGGAGGTCATGAATAGAATGGGGAGATCTTTCAGGTGACCACCAGTTTTTCTAGAAGAGAGATGGCTAGACAAGGGTGATAGTATCAGAGAAGGAAAATGTACGTATATTCCAATTATACCTTGGGAGTGAACTCAACAAGTCTTGGAAACCGATGGATTCTTGGTGAAATGTGTAACAAATCACTCACTGAGATTGGGAGAAGGCAGATGTGAGCAATGAGAAGGTGGACATGACAAAGTGACCTTACTGATGAAAAGATGTTACCCATATGTGCTTGGTGATCAGGAGATTATAGTGCTATCCCGGTTGGGTGTCACAAACATACACACACACACACACACATGGGTGCACGCGTGTGCGCGCACGTGCATTTTTTTCCTCCTCCAGGAATACCTAGCATGGGTTCAGACTCAAGAAAAGTAAGTAACTTCAGTTTGTCAGGGAAGATAGTATAAAGGATTGAGAATATTTGTCAAAAAGAGTTCAGTGGCATACAACGGAATTTAAGTTGGACAAGAAGGAAATAAAGAAAGGAAGGGTTTAACAGAATGAGTGAAGAGTGAACTAATGAACTGGACACTAATAAGGTTGAGAAATGGTTAGTGCAGTGGTAGGTAGGCAGAGGTTATTGTCAGAATGTCACTTTGTAATTATAGAAGAAGTAAAGGAATTCTTGAATTTAACAAGATCCAGGATGTGTCCATGGAGGTTGAGGAGATAGTGATAGGCCATCAGAAAGGCTAGGCAGAATAAAAGATGGGGAGTTTAAAAGAAGTTTTTCATAGGTCCAAATGGGGCAAGGAATTTCAAAAGAGCAAACTCATCCTACTATCAATTTAAGTATCATGCAAAGAAGTGAATGTGGACCACTCCTCTCAACTAACACAACTGCAACCACTGGGAATGACATGCCTACCTTTTTCTCTAACTCGTGGAGATGAGCCAGAATTCTCTCCTTCTCTTCATCAGCTTCCTGAAGTTGGAGATCTGTGAGGCCTTGAATTTCTTCCATGTTCTTTAGATTTTCTTGCAAATAGTGAATTTCATTTTCCAACTGCCTGATTTTTGCATCATGTTGTCTTTTATCAAAATTAATCTGTAAAAATATAAAATTTCAAGGATTTATTTATGAGACAGATTCTCAATTTATAGCTCAGGCTGGCTACAAAAGAACTTGTTACAGAATTTTCTTTTATTTAACTATAGGTTGTAATACAATTTTGTACTAGGAAGTTATAGGGAACCATTTTTTTTTTTTAAGGGGTAGTGGTAGAATGGGCCTTGTGCTTGCTAGGCAGGTTCTCTACCATTTATGCCAAATTTCCAACCCTTTTCGCTCGGATTATTTATTTATTTATTTTTGTCGGTCAGTTGTGGGGCTTGGGCGCTGTCCCTGCACTCTTCAGCTCAAGGTGCGCGCTCTACCGCTTGAGCCACAGTGCCACTTCTGGTTTTCTAGTGGTTTTTATTGGAGATAAGAGTCTCACGGACTTTCCTGCCTGGGCTGGCTTTGAACCGTGAGCCTCAGATCTCCATAAACTACCAGAAAACTGAAAGTGGTGCTATAGCTCAAGTGGTAGAGTGCTAGCCTTGAGCTGAAGAGCTGAGGGACAGAGCCCAGGCCCAGAGTTTTTGTTGTTGTTTCTTGTCAGTCATGTGGCTTGAACTCTGGGCCAAGGTACTGTCCCTGAGCTCTTCAGCTAAAGGCTAGCACTCTACCACTTGAGCCACAGCGCCACTTCTGGTTTTCTGGTGGTTAATTGGAGATAAGAGTCTCACTGGTGGTTAATTGGAGATAAGAGTCTCACTGGTGGTTAATTGGAGATAAGAGTCTCACAGACTTTCCTGCCAGGGCTAGCTTTGAACCACAATCCTTGGATCTCAGCTTCACGAGTAGCTAGGATTACAGCTGTGAGCCAATGGCGCCCAGGGCAGGCCCAGAGTTTAAACACCAAGACCAACAAAAAAAATAAAATAAAGGATTCTGGCACCACATTATACTGAATTAAATGAATTTTTTTTATCAGCCTATGAATTATTTATCAGCCTATATATCATGCTTCCACAAAGGAAACTGTGTTACAAATAGGTTTGACTTTGTGTCATCAACAACCACAATCAGGGTTGGATTGTAACCATACCCTGTTAAGACTTGTTATGAGTGAAAATAACAATTATTGCTGAATTTACATGAGAAAGAAAGCATAATAATTTGCTCAAAACCATTAGTATTTGCTAAGAGCTGCTTCCAGTAGCCTTTTGCTCTTTTCTTACTCTAGCTTCCAGGGCTCTTTCGCAGGCCTGTCTGAACTCTTCTTGTCCATTTGCCAGTTTCTCTTGCTGCAGAACCATTTCTTCCTGGAGTTTCCTTTCTCTCACTTGTGCTTCTTCTCTTTCCCACTGGGAGCGTGCAAGGATTTCATTGAATTGTTTCTGTAAGTCAGCAAGACTTTTCCCTAAGACATCAGAAGGATTCTGGATCCTGGTAAGAAAAAAAAAAAAGAAGGTGTTATAAATGTGACATTTTACTTTTGATGCTCAATGCAAAGGAGCTGTTAACATTAATACAACTAGTAAAAAGAGATGTGCAGAAGGACTGGTGTCAACCTTAGCAAATCATTAAGTACAATCCTAGGTACAAATCTGTGTTTCAGCAAATGAAATACACCATCTGACAGCACAGGCTCCTATAAGGCTTGAATAACCTGTTTCTTTTGATATGTGTTCTCTGTTTAAAATGGATAATGTGACCCTACTTCTTTTTTTTTTGGGTCCGGTCATGGGCCTGAACTCTGGGCCTGGGCGCTGTCCCTCAGCTCTTCAGCTCAAGGCTAGCGCTCTATCACTTGAGCCACAACGCCATTTCCGGATTTTTTTCTTTTTGCTTATGTGGTGCTGAGGAATCGAACCCAGGGCCTCATGCATGCAAGGCAAGCGCTCTACCACTGAACCACCTTCCCAGCCCTGTGACCCTACCTTCTTGACCATATATAATGAACATTCAAGAAAGATTTTGAAATACCTTTTTCAAATAGTATCAAAGGGCTGGGAAGGTGGCTCAGTGGTAGAGCACTTGCCTTGCATGCCTGAGGCCCTGGGTTCGATTCCTCAGCACCATATAAGCAAAAAGAAAAAAGCCGGAAGTGGCGCTGTGACTCAAGTGGTAGAGCGCTAGCCTTGAGCTGAAGAGCTGAGGGACAGCATTCAGGCCCAGAGTTCAGACCCCATGACTGGACCGAAAAGAAAAAAAAAAACAACAACAACAAAAAACAAATCAAATAGTATCAAAAAGTATAAAAGATGTAAAGTGGCCAGGCACCTGTAGCTCATGCCTATAATCCTAGCTACTCAGGAGGCTGAGATCTGAGGATAACAGTTAAAGCCAGCCCGGGCAGGAAAGTCCGTAAGACTCTTATTTCCAATTAACCACGAGAAAACCAGAAGCAGCACTGTGGCTCAAGTAGTAGAGCACTAGCCTTGAGCTGAAGAGCTGAGGGGCAGTGGCCAGGCCCAAAGTTCAAGCTCCATGACTGACAAAAAACAAACAAAAAAAGATGCAAAGTAAAATAAAAATAAAAATAAAGCTAGGTGCTTACACCTATAATCCTAGCTACTGAGGAGGCTGAGATCTGAGGATTGTGGTTGGAAGCCAGCCTAGAAAGGAAGTCTGTAAAATTTTCAATTAACCACCAAAAAGCCAAAAGTGTTGAGCAATACTCAAATAATAGAGTGCTAACTTTAAGGTAAAAATAAAGTACTAATGACAATTTGAATTACATGATCTTGTATCAGAACCTTTTGGAAACATCATAAGGAAAACTTTCCAAAAGAAATCAGCCCTATGTAACTTGTGGGCAGGGATGGAAGGGAGAAACTGGGAGAAAGTGAAGGAAGGGGTAACATTGTCCAAAAATAGAAATGTACTCATTACCTAACTTATGAAATGGTAATCCCTCTGTATACCACCTTAATAATAACAATAAAATTATATTTGAGTAAATAAAGGAAAAAAAAGAAATCAGCCATTGCTAGAACTTTCACCATGGACCTTCATACTTAACAAGTCTGGGGTTGTGAAACACTCTATGCACAGAGTTCTTGATTTTCCCTTACCTCATTTCCCCAGCTCCTAATTTCAGTTTTCTCCGGAGCTCATCCACACGAGCTGCCACTTCTTCAGGGCGAATCAAACCATCAACTACATGGTTAAGATGATTCTGGAAATCTTTGAGTTGCTGTTTTAACAGGTTATTATCATCCTATGGAGGAGGTAACATGGAGAGAATCTGTTATTTGTGTGCAAATTTTCAGTGTTAACAAATGAATGAACATTGAAGCACAGAGGATAATTCAGACAATGTCAAATAAAATTCAAATAAAAGTCACTAAAATTTCCCCTAAGTTTGATAAAAATGATTCAACATCATAAGCTACTGATTATATTCTCCTGAATATTTATATTATTTGAATGGCTAATCTACTTCAAACTCAGTGTGATACTGTTGAGCACTATGGAGAATAGAAATGCAATTAACATGTTATTAAGTATCTTCACCATCTGGAATCCTTTCATCTGTGTCCCTACCCATTACTGACCTAGCTTTTTCTATATTACAGACGGTCCCCTCATTACAGTTATTTTGAATTTTTTCTCCAGGGCTGGTGGTATGTGTTACATTTCCCATGAAGGTGGGCAGTGAAAAGCCTCAGCTCCCAGTAAGCCAGGTCATCAGGATGGTGAAACATGATTCTCTGTGTGTGTGTGTGCTGGTACTGAGCCTTGAACTCAGGGCCTGATCACCATCTTTGCTTTTTCACTCAAGGTTGGCACTCTACCACTTTTGAGCCACAGCTCTATTTTTAACTTTTTGATGGTTAGAGACAAGAGTTTCATGGACTTTCCTGCCTGGGCTGTTTTTATACTGTTACTCAGTTCTCAGCCTCCTGAATAGATAGGATTACAGGTGTGAGCTACCAGCACCAGCTACCAGCATCCACAAAAATGCATTTTTGTCTCCCATTATATTTCCAATAAATTACACAAGCTATTCACATTTTATTATAAAATATGATTTGTGTTCTAAGCACATAGGTGTTCTAAGCAAATTTGTAAGCTAGGTTAGAATATTAAATGCATTTAATTTCCTATATTTTCAATTTAAGGTAGGCTTATCAGGATGCAATCCCATCATAAATTGAGGAACATCTGTACTATCTAATCCTGGTCACAAGTGATCTGCCTCAGGCCAGCCAAAAGGACAACAAAAATTGTGTCTAAAATTTGAAGCAAGATTCAGTACAGCAAGTACTGAATAAATTCTGGAACTTAAAAGATTTTCCATCTTAGGACTGGTCCATGATGAACTGAACACAATATTCAGAGAACTAGGAAAAGAGAAATGAAAGAGCCATGTAGCCTCTAAAAGACTGGTAGAGTGATTCTGGTTTCTAGCAAGTTATTTCTTTTTTTGAGCTAGTACCCTGAGGTTTTGTTTCCTTTTATCAAAATGATTTCTACAAAATATAAATGTAGAGTGGGTGTAACCTGTATTCTTGCTGAGGGAACCAGCTTCATAGAAAGCTGACTGTGGTTTCTACCTTTGAGAGGATATCTCCTGAAGATTATATTTTAGTTTTTCTTGCTGTAAAAGAAAGTTCACTGAAGATTTACAAATGAAATAAAGGTATGTGAGGTTTTCTTTAAAATATTACAATCAGAAAAAAAGGTAGATGTAATGAAATGTTGACAACTGTTAAAACTTGATAATGGAAAAATAAAAGGGCATAGACTCATCTTTTTGTGATTGGAGAATTTCCACAGTGAAATTAAAATCTAGAAGACCCAAATATATATACACAAATGCACCCTACTTTCTCTGACACAAGAACACATGTACATCCTTTATGATATTTGCTTCACAAGTGGAACTAATAGCAGTCAAATTTAAATTTTAGGTTATCAGATTTTTTTTTTTTTGGTCGGTCGTGGGGCTTGAACTCTGGGACTGGGCACTGTCCCTCAGCTCTTCAGCTCAAGGAGAGTGCTCTACCACTTGAGCTACAGGGCCACTTCCGGTTTTCTGGTGGTTTATTGGAGATAGGAGTCTCACGGTCTCTCCTGCCCGGGCTGGCTTTGAACTGTGATCCTCAGATCTCAGTCTCCTAAGTAGCTAGGATTACAGGCGTGAGCCACCAGCGCCCTGCTGGTTATCGGATTTAAAAAAAAAAAAACTTTCTGAAAAAATATGTGAAGAATATTTGGAAAAGGTCTATCTGAATGACCTTTTGGAGGCCTTCCCCCAATCCTTATCAATTTTTCCCCTTTATTTCTGGTAATACCAGCTCTACTTCACCCAGACAAGCAGTCCCTGACCACATAAAACAGGGAGATCTGAGTGCTGGTTCATGTATGTGTTATATATTTGTTTTGAGGGAGTTATCTGGAATAGCCTGCCCAACTACTTCTATGACTTTTGAGAACAGGTATAAAAACATTCTGTTAGGAGCTAGGAAGGTGGCTTAGTGGTAGAGGGCTTGCCTTGCATTCATAAGGCCCTGGGTTCGATTCCTCAGCACCATATAAGCAGAAAAAGCCCAGAAGTGGCGCTGTGGCTCAAGTAGGGGAGTGCTAGCCTTAAGCCAAGAGCTGAGGGACAGGGTTCAGGCCCAGAGTTCAGGCCCCACGACCGACAAAAACAAAACAAAGCAAAACTTTCTGTTATACTTTCTCAACAATTACAAAATGACTGCCTTTTAAATAACATCATCTCTGAGAGGAAAACTGTGAAACCATTTATGATTGGTGACCACCATAGTTAAATTCATAGGTAATTACAAAGATCATTCAGTGGAAGAAGGATATACCAATAGAATAATTTTAGCTGAGTCTGGTGACAAATCTGTTTCTAGGAGAAATACAAAGGGTTACTTTCATCTGTGAATTTACGCAGCATACTGTTCACTATGACACTGCCTCCATTTCCTGTACCATCATGTTATAGGAGAATACAGGTAATGGTAGTACCCCACCCAGACTTCTCTGTTTCTAATAATACAAGTTGTTAATACATGTTAGAACAGGAGACTAAATGCTTGATTGAAGTCATCACCATTTTTGGTTGTCCGTATCTGAATTATACTCAGAACAAGTCATACCTGTAGCTGTTTAAGTTGTGCGCGGAGCTCACTGTTTTCTTGTTCCTTTTCTTCTGAGAACTGGGCTTTTCCAAGGGCATTCTTGAGGGATTTTCTTTCCTTCTCAAGTTCTGCTTGAAGTGCTGAATGTTCCAACTATTGTCAGAAGAAGAAATAATAAAAAAGTATAAAACATCAGAAATTTGGGATCCTAACAGGCATTAGTATGTTTATATATATATGCATAAACCTGTAGTTTTATCTTTATACTTTTGAAAAATAAAAAGTTCAGGATCATTTCCCCACATATTCAGCCCTTAAACTACTAACTTAAAACTTGAGGAGTGGGCAACAGAATCTGCTCAGCCAAATCAGAATCTTCCAAGGGAGCCCTAAACATCTATATTTAAAAGCAAATAGTGGTCCTAAAATTATCATATCAAAATCACTTGGCATGTCTGTTAAAAAGGTAGAGGCATCTGGGTGTAGTGGCACATGTCCATAATCTCAGCATCTGGGAGACTGAGGCAGAGGGTGGAGATTTCAATGACAGCCTGAACTATACAGTGAGAGACCCAAGCAGCTGGAAAGGCTCAATCTCAAACTTATGGGTCAGAATCTCTTGTTTGGAGACCAGTGAATTAATATTGTTGCAGTGTACTAATCAGATTTACAGATCTGTAGATCAGGCGGAAAAGATCTTTTATGCTCAATATTCTCAATGTATAGTTTGAAGACCAATCCTTGAGGTCTCAGTATTAAGGGGTAGAAAATCTCTTTCAGTAACAAGTCAGACAGTAAAAAGGCATACACACATACACACCCATACACACACACACATATATATAAAAGACATATGCACACAAATTTAGTGGAAATACAAATGACAAATGCATCATCCAAACTAATAAGGGCCCACTTGAAAAAGAGAGGAGAATTTATAAGGAAATGCCATTTTCAGAAACAATATTTATTGGGGGCTGGGAAGGTGGCTCAGTGGTAGAGCGCTTGTCTTGCATGTATGAGGCCCTGTGTTCGATTCCTCAGCACCACATAAGCAAAAAGAAAAAAAGCTGGAAGTGGCGCTGTAGCTCAAGTGGTAGAGTGCCAGCCTTGAGCTGAAGAGCTGAGGGACAGCGTTCAGGCCCAGAGTTCAGGCCCCATGACCAGACCCCCCCCCAAAAAAAAAAACACCATATTTACTATTATTTGAAAATAGGTCTTTTCTTGTACTTTGTTTTCCCCAACTTCCTGTTTTCTATGCTGATCTTGCCAACTATAGTTTTGTAAAGCATGGTACCTGAGAGATATAACTGATTCTTGTCAAGTTACTGGTATTTGATAAGTAGTGGATTACAGTAGCAAAATTACTATAAAATACAGACATTTTTAGTTCCTTTCAAAATCAAATGAGTGTTCTTTCACATGCATTTCTAAGATTCAAACTATCTGATTAGCTAAATGTATCTATCATTCTCTCACTCAGGAGTAAAGAAAGGAAGATCACAAGTTTGACACTACCTAGGGCAACACAGTAAAACCCTATCTCGAAAAGCAAACCAAACAAAAAAAACCTTATTTCACTTCATATGAACACATATTGATAGTTCCCATGCACCAGGAACTGAAAAAGAGAAACAAGCAGACAGTGTGGTTATTCACTGAGCTCTGAGTCTGGTTAGAATGGTAGGGAGCCACATAAAGATATTATCATGCAAGTACAAAATGCCTAACTGAGCAAAGGTTACAGGAAAACCTAAGTAGAGTCCTGGAGCCAACTTTTCACCAGACATAAAAAAGCTAGTAGTAGGGCTTCCTACAGAAAGGTAAAGCCATTTGAATAACAACCTAAAAAAACTGTGTGTCAATGATGGAAATGAACTACACAATTTGGGCAGAGGGAAGTCAGGAGGGGAAAAACTGGAGAATAAGGGAGGGGTTGACACTGTACAAAAGGAAATGCATTACCTGACCTATGTAACTCCTCTGTACATCACCTTTACAATAAAATTTTAAAATAAAAAATAAATGATTTTCTCAACAAGTGAACTGTAAAGTTAGAGATAATCAATAAAAACTGGTACATCTAAAATAATTGTGTAGGGCTGGGAAGGTGGCTCAGCGGTAGAGTGCTTGCCTTGCATGCATGAGGCCCTGGGTTCGATTCCTCAGCAGCACATAAGCAAAAAGAAAATGCTCGAAGTGGCGCTGTGGCTCAAGTGGTAGAGTGCTAGCCTTGAGCTGAAGAGCTGAGGGACAGCGCCCAGGCCCAGAGTTCAGGCCCCACGACCAGACCCCCCCCCAAAAAATAAAATAAAATAATTGTGTATACATATATACGTTAACATATATGTATGTGCATATTTGTGCATATACATAATACACATTTTTTTTCTTTCTTCAGAGTACTCAGTCTGGGACTTAAACTCAGGGCCTGGGCACTGTCCCTAAGCTTTTGTGCTCAAGGTTAGTGCACTACCACCTGAGCCACAGCACCACTTCCGGCTTTCAGTAGTTAATGGGAGTTAAGAGTCTCATGGTCTTTTCTGCTTGGGCTTGGCTTCAAATGACAATCCTCAGATCTTAGCCTCCTCAGTATCTACGATTAAGGTATAAGCCACTGGAGCTTAGTAAAAAATGTATTTTAAATTTGATAAAGGGTATATTATAGCTAGCCTCTACTTTTTGCCTTTACATCTCACCCTGTTTTCTTACTCTTCTCTGTTTATGCCTCTAATTCTGGAGACATACTGTTAGCACTTTAATATTTTGCTCTTTCTCTCCTATTCTTCTGTCTAGATCACTCAATCCTTCCTGACACTACCCTGTTTATCCTTCAAGCCTTAGCTGAAAACATAATTTCTTTTTTTAGGCTGGTTCTAAAGTTTATCTAAGGGCCTTGTCCTTGTTAGGCAAGTACTCTTATCACTTGAATGATGTCTTTAGTCTTTTTGCTTTATTTATAGAAACATGTTTTGGCTGGGTCTGTAGGATGGTCTTCTCTAACTATCTCCCTTCCTTTGCTATAGTATTCTGTCTCTTTCTTCTTCACCTGTGTCCTGTGGTTTGTTAGCCCACAGGCAGTGATTATGCCTATTTGGTCCCTACAGCATTCACAGTCAACAAGCCAACAACCAATAACCAATCAATGATATTTATCGAATGGATATTTTCCTCGAATTTACAAGTATAACGAACTAGTAGATCTTTTAACTAACAATAAAAGGAAGCAAAAATGAAGTTTAACATCAACATAAAAGAAGTCTCTTAAAGCTATTCTGGGAAAGGAAGGCTGACTAGGTGTTTTTATAGACATGGATCTTATTTATCGTTGTCTTTCACAAAAGGATAGGCTGGGAGACTCAAGAGCCATAAAGTGATTTGCCCATGTACTCACAGAGATAGTATCTGAACTCAGGATGTTTGATTCCAAAAACGTGTCTTTCCCTACACTCCAAATGTGTTATATTGAAAAGTACTTAATATTAAATTGAAATATGATTTTTAGCGTGTATTAGTTGTATAAAGGGGTTTTATCATATATTTCTGTACATGCATATAATGTACTTTGATGATATTTACTCCCTCTCGTCCAGAAGTAAGGTTCTTTTTTTTTTTTTTTTTTCCGGTCGTGGGGCCTGAACTCTGGGCCTGGGCGCTGTCCCTCAGCTCTTCAGCTCAAGACTAGCACTCTACCATTTGAGCCACAGTGCCACTTCCGGCTTTTTTCTTTTTGCTTATGTGGTGCTGAGGAATCGAACCCAGGGCCTCAGGCATGCAAGGCAAGCACTCTACCACTGAGCCATCTTCCCAGCCCCAGAAGTAAGGTTCTTGAGCATAGGCTTCATCGTTTCTAGTTGGTGTATGGTCCTACTTACCTGAGTAAGACTTGTGAGTTTTTCCAACTCTTCCTTGAGCCTGTTGCTTTCAGCATCCCTTAACCTTAGCTGAGCCTCTAGCTCAGCCTCATAGGCATTGAGATCTCCTTGAGTCTGCTGCAGGGATGCATTTACTTCTTGTTGCTCTTGGAGGGCACTTTCTAGCTCTGCCAGCTCCTGGAAGAAGACCAGAAAGTTTACTGCACATTCCTCACAGTGCTGCTTAAACATCTGTAAGTCGTTGTAAGTAACTTGAGCACAGTAAACCCAGTGCTGATGCCTGGCACAGAAAATTTTAATTTGCAACCTGATGAAATCTCAGGCTATGCTCATACTAGCTGGAAAATAAAATCCTAACCCAATATAATCAGAAAGGTCAGTAAGCTATCAACATGTTGCTTTCTAAAGTAATCAGTTATATGATTATTTTTTTTAAAAAAACAAGGAAGACAGGAGGCACCAAGCCTCAAATTTAAGGCCTACTTTCCATTAGATACTGGACTAAATGTTTTTATTAGTTTCCAGAATAATGAATTCCTACAAGTCAAAGAAAAGCCAAGGCAATAAAACAGAAAATAAGAATATAGAATTCACTGTAGAGGAAATATGAATGGAAAATAAAGAAAAAGAAGTCTGTTCAGGGCTGGGAAGGTGGCTCAGTGGTAGAGCACTTGCCCTGCATGCCTGAGGCCCTGGGTTCGATTCCTCAGTACCACATAAGCAAAAAGAAAAAAGCCAGAAGTGGCGGTGTGACTCAAGTGGTAGAGTGCCAGCCTTGAGCTGAAGAGCTGAGGGACAGCGCCCAGGCCCAGAGTTCAGGCCCCACGACTGGACACCTTCCCCTCCCCCGCCAAAAAAAAGAAGTCTCTTCAGCTAAATAAAATACTCCTGTATATGGAATATCAAGGAACAAATTAAAATAACCATAAGGAAATAATTAGGAACATTTAGAATGTGGGACAAACCAGGCTGGGAAGGTGGCTCAGTGGTAGAGCGCTTGCCTTGCATGCCTGAGGCCCTGGGTTCGATTCCTCAGCACCACATAAGCAAAAAAAAAGCCAGAAATGGCGCTAAGGCTCAAGTGGTATAGTGGTAGCCTTGAGCTGAAGAGCTGAGGGACAGGGTTCAGGCCCAGAGTTCAGGCCCCACAACTAGACCCCCCCTCCAAAAAAAAGAATGTGGGACAAACCACAGCATTAGCAGCCTGGGTTCTACATTCACTCTTTCTCACTATATGAGAAGCTTCTTGGGAAAATGTGAACATGGTTCAGATGAAGGGATGATGCTATGATGCCTGTAACTAATGAGCATGACCGAAAACTATGGATCTATGGACAAATACAGCAAAATATTAAGTCTAAGAGGGCTCATAGTCATTGAACTATTCTTTCAATTTTTCTGTTAAAAGCAACAATTTTTATATTACAAAGATGGGGGAAAAGATGCCATTTAGAATGTAACATAGCTATGCATTGGTGGCTCACACCTGAAATCCCAGCTACTCAGGAGGCTGAGACCTGAGGATCATAGTTCGAAGCCAGTCTAGGCAGCAAAGTCCATGAGACTCTTATCTCCAATTAATCACCAGAAAACTGGAAGTAGCACTGTGGCTCAAAGTGGTAGAGAGCTATCCTTGGGCAACATGGCTCAAGAGACAGTGCCAAGCCCTGAGTTCAAGCCCCATGACTGAGCAAAAAAAAAAAAAAAGCAGCAGATTGGCAAACATGAAGCCTGACCTATTACTGCATTTCTTGTCAGATGTGGTAGCACACTTCTGTAATCCCACTACACAAAAGGCAGATGCAGAAGGATTCTGACTATAAAGGATAGCCTGAGCCAATAGTAAACAAAAATAAATAAATTTAAATTTAAATATTACATTTCCTGAGTCTGATAATTCTTCTATATTTACTCCAGAAAATGTCTTTATTCTGAGAAATCACATACTGAAATCTATAGGGGCAAAGATGCATGACATCTGTAACTAATTCTCAAATGGCTCAGGAAAAAAGTCTACTTAAGCTGGGTGCTGATGGCTCACACCTGTAATCCTAGCTATTCATGAGGCTGAAATCTGAGGATTACAGTTCAAAACCAGCAGAAAAGTCTTTTGTGAAACTCTTATCTCCAATAAAGCACCAGAAAGCTGGAAGTGGCACTGTGGCTCAAGTGGTAGAGCACTTGCTTTGTGCTCAAGAGCTGAGGGACAGAGCCCAGACCCAGAGTTCAAGCACCATGACCAACAAAAAATAAATCAAATCAAATAGGTGCAGGGTTTCATGCCTGTTATCCTAAAGTATGTGGGAGGCTGAGACTAGGAGTATAGTACCAGGTCAGCCTGGGCAGAAAAATACATGAGAAGTCATCTCTAAGGAAGGAAGCTAGATATGGTAGTCCACACACTTATGATACCAGCAACACTGGATGGGAAGCCTAAAAGTAGGTGCTCCAGTGCAAGGCAGCAGGTGAGACCCTATCCTAAAGACAATCAGTTAAAAGCAGGGCTAGAGGCATGGTTCAGGGTATCATAACAGTTTAGCAAATGTGTAAGGCCCTGAATTTAAACTCTACATAGCCCTTCCACCAAGAAAAGCATATAAATCATGTAAAAATTAAGTATGAGAGAAAAAGTGGCTAGTGATGGCACATTAGATCATGGAAGAGGCCTATTCACCTCACGGCAGTGAGGCAGCAAAGAAAAAGAAAAAGGAAAGTCTGAGGTCCCAGTATCTCCTTCAATGTCCTAAACTTCCTTCCACTAGGCATCACCTCTCAAAGGTTCTGCTGTTTTCCCGTAATGCCACAGGCTGAGGACCAAGCCTTTATTATGTGCCTTTTAAGCCATTTATGCTAAGTACACAGTCTGCAAGCTCAAGATGCACACAGAATGTTACATTCAGAATAGTGAGTAATAGCAGAAGATTATAAACAACCCAAGCGTCCTCCAAAAGGAGAATGAATAAATAATAACTTTGTGGAATGTACATACAATAGGATGTTACATACATCAATAAGAATAAGATGGAGCCCCATGTCTCAATGTGTATAAATTCTCAACAAGCAAATATGAAGGAAGAAAAGAAGCAACAATGAATATGTACACTGTAACACCTTGGAGCACCGATTGCTTACGGAACATATAAAAACACATGCATATGTGTCCATGCATGTATGTATACAAAATAAAAGAACAGAGACGCAGGAAAATAACTATATTCAGGGTTGTATTACTTTTGGGAAAGGAGTTCACAGAGATTTTCATATATATATATATATATATATATATATATATATATATATATATATATATTTGCAATGTCTTATTTCTTAAGCTGCATTGTAAGAATACAAAGTTAAATGTATTTCTGATACTTTTTATATGCCTGAGGGTTTTTATATTAAAAATATGAATTACAGCCAGACTCTGGTGGCTCACACCTATAATCCTAGCTACTCAAGAGGCTGTGATCTGAGGATGATGGTGGTTCAAAGCCAGCCGGGGCAGGAAAGTCCATGAGACTCTCACCTCCAATTAACCCCCAGAAAACCAGAAGTGGTGCTGTGGCGCAAGTGGCAGAGTGCTAGCCTTGAGCTGAAGAGCTGAGGGACAGCACTCAAGCCCATAGCTCAAGCCCACAACTGACACTGACAAAAATAAAAGAAAATTTATATATATATATATATATATATATATATATATATATATTGCAATTTCCAGAAAGCAGCTCTTATGAACATGAAATTTGGGGAAACCTTTAGTAACAACAATATCTACCAAAAACCTAAAACAGAATAAGTGAAATTTCCTAATGAGTAGACAACAAATTAGAAAAGCGTAATTTACAGCAATGCCTGTCTTCATGTATAATACCAAAATTAATATTGCCTCTATTATAAAGTAATAACAATAAAATAAGCTACAATGTGCTTTATAATTCTTCTGCAAATAATAAAAATACAAGCTTTCATATGGTATTCTTGTTAGATAAAGTAGGATTGTCTTTACAGTTATTATCAACAATACCTTTCAGGGACAGAAATAGAGTCAAAATAATCTTCCCTTTCTTAGCAAAGGAAAAATAATGATTCCAAATGTTTCACAGTTAAAGAAGAAAAATCCCACCAATTAAAAAAAAAGTACCCAATAGCCACTATTACTTTTTGTCACTTATTTCTAACTCTTTCAAATGTCTTAATTTGGATATCTACTACTGAAGCTAAGGAAAATGGAAGGAACAAATCCTACCTTCCGCATGTTTTCTGCATCTATGGCAACTATCTCCAGTTCATCCCTCTCCTGCTGGACATCAGACAGTCTTTGCAGCAGCATCTCTCTCTCATCCTGTAGCTGCCTACACTCATTCTGGGCCAGAGCTGCCTGGTCTTTGATGGTCCCGAGGTATTCCTGCAGCCCACTGATGACACCTTCTAAATCCTTCTTCAGAGCTTCATTTGCTGCTATCTGGCCTAAATCAGATGGAAAGAATAATAATGTATATTTTAAAAGTATTGTTTTGTCTCCTCAGCAATTAGTTACTAAGTGAAATTCTAAGCTTATAATTATATCCTATCATAGTTTTCTGTTTCAAGATATAATGGTAATTTTCTTCTATTATATGTAGTATAGGAATATTAATCAGGTAAAATATACAAATAGTATTTGGAATATATTCACAGAATGCTTAAAAAGTTCATGCTGTAAAATGTTTAAATTATTTCTAAATGAAAAAACAAAAAATGTGTAGCAGAACTGTGAATTCTTGTTGCTGAGTACACAAAGCAAAAGTACTCAAAAATCAAGATGAATCCAAGACAGGCATCATAAACATGTAACCTGAAAACTTAAACCAAAACTAAACATGTTTGTTGCCAAATACTTTGTAAACACTTATTTTCAATCCTCCAAACTGATCAAGATAGAAATAACCTGTTCAAGGTGACACAGTGACAATGGCCAAGCAGGGACTTGCTCTTTTTCACTGATCTTAGCTTTTACTTCTCAGTCTTCTATTTCCCTCTGCCACTGTCATAGAAATCTTGAAAAAAAAATATTTTTTTTCTGGTCCTAGGGCTTGAACTAGGACATAGGCACTATCCTTGAGGTTTTGTTTTGTTTTTGTTTTGCTCAGGCTAGTGCTCTACCACTTGAGTTACAGCTCCATTTCTGGCTTTTTTGTAGTTAATTGAAGATAAGAATCTCAGACTTTCTTGTCCAGGCTGGCTTTGAACCACAATCCTCAGATTTCAGCCTCTTGAATAGCTAGGATTATAGGTGTGAGCCATTGGGCACACAGTTATATTTTTACTTTTCAAAAATCATATTTTTTATGCTTTTTGATACTATTTTTAAAAGACATTTGAGTCTTTCTTGGAGTGTTCATCATATATAAAATGTCAAGTTTAAACTTGCCTTTCTGAAGTGGGAAATAAATTTCTTAATATACTGCTAAGATATTGGATTTCCTAGTGCTAACAGAATTTGCTTTGTGTTTTATACATTGGAGACAATTGTGGCAGAGCTTATCATCATGCACTGACTTCATTCTTGCCTACTCAGTAGAATGACCTGACCCAGTAGGCATCAATGCAACAAAACATCATTAAAAAGAAAACCTTTTTTAGTTTTCAACATAGTTTGGGGGCCGGGTGCCAGTGGCTATGCCTGTAATCCTGCTACTCAGGAAGCTGAGATCTGAGGATCCCAGCTTGAAGCCAGCCCAGGCAGGAAAGTCCATGAGACTCTTATCTCCAATAAACCATCAGAAAACAGGAAGTGGCACGGTGGTGCAAGTGGTAGAGTGCTAGCCTGAGCTGAAGAGATGAGGGACAGCGCCGAGGCCCAGAGTTAAAGCCCTGCAACCACCACCACCAACAACAAAAATAATTTTGGGTATTTTGCAAACACTTTTATATCAAAGCACTAACTGGTGAACCATACATATCTGTTTGGGTATCATTTTTTTTTGTTACCTAAAATCAAATTAAATTCTCACCATCTGTAAGTTGTTGTTCAAGATCCTTAATCTCCTCAGTCTCCTTAGCAATTCTAGAAAGTATATCATCCAAACGGCTTTCCAGTTGTTTGTACTGCTTGTTCATAGTGTCAAGCTGTTGTTCTTTACCCCTTTTTTGTGCCTTCACATGAGACTGAAATGAAAAAAAAAAAAAACAAGCCCAAGTTACTTATATTTTATAATAATCCTTAACAATAGGGCCTTGTACATTCTAGGCAAGTACTCTACCACTTCAGTTATGTCCAGAACTCCTAAACAACATTTTGTTGGTGGTGGTAGTGGCAGTGGCGGTGAAGATGGCATTGTCTGTTTTTGCTAAACATTTTTAAATGAAGAATACAAAATAGAACCAATTACCTATCTACCCTTTCATTTTACAAATGAGCAAACCCAGTGTAAGGTTCATCAAATGACTTGCCCAAGTCTCCTTAGGTAACTGTTGATATGGATACAAAGTAATTCCCCAGAGAACTTCTGCCTTCCCACTCCCCCAAACCCAAGACTAAAATTGCCCCCACAGGATCAGAGGACTAGAACTAAAGATAAAACCATCAGGAAAGAGAACTGTATCTGAACCACAAAGGAGTACATTTTTTAATATTAGATGTCTGCTTTCCCCAAATACTAGGAAAAAGTCTCTTCATTATTTATGAACTAATGAGTAGCACTTTGATAAAAAGACTTTTATTTTACCAGTAAACTTGATGAGATTTTCAAATCTTGTCTTTTCTCTATACTCCTAAAATACCCAGCCGACATCTTTCTGAAATCAATCTGTTTAAAGAAATCTTTTATGTTCTGAAACCTAAGAACTGCAATTAACAGCTTGTACTGTAAATAAACTTTGAGCATTTATGGCTAAAGAAAGATTTAAAAAACTATTTTAATCTAAATCAATAAATCCTTAAAATTCACTGCTAAAAATCCATTAAAACCTCTTTATTTGCAGGTCAAAATTTGATTCAAGTGCTAGTGGCATACAATAAATACACTAGAACAACAAGATTCAGCTATTTTCACTATTGTGGTACACACAAAAGAGTTATTGTAAAAACAGGAACTTAAATCTGACTCCTCCTCCCCCTAAGTCCTTTGTACAAAGAGAAAACGACCATACCTTAACTTAGAATCTGTCCTGTTAAAACAACCATGAAGAAAAGAGAAATTGTGCGCTGAATGCTCTACCGCTGTCTTCAAATTCACGTGGACTTTCCTCTCTGACAGCCACATTTTTGCAAGCACCTCCAAATCTGTAACTTCCCAGAGTTCAAACCACGTTCCCAACCATGAGTGAGCGGCAGCCCAGCCTCCAGTCACTGATAGCCTCTGCTGGCAGGCCCCACCCTCCCCTCTTTAAATCTAAACAGAGGAAGCTCCCGAAGGCCAATCACACCAAAAGCTGCAAGCAGTTCTACTGGCTAATCCCCTAGAGAACTGCTCACTCTTTGCTCTCATTGGGCGGTTCCCGATAGAAGAGAGCGACACAGAGCTCCTTTATTATGTTTGCTTCCAGGGTATTTGTACTTCTAGCTATTAACAACTTAATAACGAAAATGGAGCTTCATAGTCAAATAGTACCTTTTCCTTTTGAAACCTAGCAAAATGCTTTTACATTTTGAAAACCCAACTAGGCTTGATTCTGAGCTAATTTTAAAATGATTTCTTTTGACCTTTGATCATTTTATGATGAGAAGATCATTAAAGTAGCTTAAGCAAGGGCTCTGACCCTTCCTAAAAGGGTGATTAGTGCAAATCAATTAAGTTATTTTTCTTTTTATTTTTTTTCCCTAAGAAATATTTTTATTGTTATTATAAAGGTGATATACAGAGGGGTTACAGTTATATAATTCTTTTTTTTTTTGTCAGTTGTGAACTCTGGGCCTGGGAGCTGTCCCTCAGCTCTTCAGCTCAAGGCTAGCACTCTACCACTTGAGCCACAAGCACCACTTCGGTTTTCTGGTGGTTAATTGGAGCTAAGAGCCTCACAGACTTTGCTGCCCAGGCTGGCTTCGAACCATGATCCTCAGATCTCAGCTTCCTGAGTAGCTAGGATTATAGGCATGAGCCACCAGTTCCTGGCTACCCCCCAATTTTTTTAGTAGTTCTAACAAAAAAGAAACAAGGTTTGTAATGGTCTGCTCCCATTAGTACAGAGCAATTCTAGCTACCTTCAAAATAGACACCATTCTAATGTATCATTTCTTTATAAAAATACAGCGAGGGGCTGGGAAGGTGGCTCAGTGGTAGAGCACATGCCTTGCATGCATGAGGCCCTGGGTTCGATTCCTCAGCACCACATAAGCAAAAAGAAAAAAAGCCGGAAGTGGCGCTGTAGAAAGTGGTAGAGCACTAGCCTTGAACTGAAGAGCTGAGGGACAGTGCCCAGGCCCAGAGTTCAGGCCTCTGGACCGGACCCTCCCCCCCCTCAAAAAAACAGTGAAATTTAAACTCCCTATCTACCCAGAATGTCACAGTAGTTCGTTGAAGGTTCTAATTACAGTCATGTCAGAGAAATGGAAGAAGTAGCACTTCAGCTTTGGGTAGGGCCTGCAGGCTCTTTCCTTCCTACCTCTAGGACTTAAGCATGCATCAACAAAGGGCTAGCCCCAAGAGACACAGACATTAGTGCCATATACAATTATTACCCTCAGGGATCTTACATAAATCAGGTTCTGAACAAATAAATACAATAAAATAAGGTAATATTGACTCCATAACACAATTATAGAACCTAAAACCTCCCATCTTTCACCTAAAATTTTTTCTTAAAATAATCAAAACTACTCTTGGTTTCAATGTTAATATTATATCTTAAGCTTTTGTTAGAAAGCTTTTGTCTATGATGATAAAATTATCCCTTATGAGAATTAGTTGTTATATATTTTATTAAAATGTTTAATTAATCAAGTATTTACAGCAATTTATAGCACTGTCTTTATCATGTTTAATCTTATGTTTTCTGTTAATACAGAGTAAAGTTTTTTAAAAGATAATGCTGACTCACCTAAAGAGACAAGATCCTGACCCACCTGACCACAGCTGGTCATATCTAAAAAGACTCATTTCAGCCAGGTGCCCACTGGCTCATGCCTGTAACTAGCTACTCAGGAGGCTGAGATCTGAGGATCATGGTTCTAAGCTAGCCCGGGCAGCTAAGTCTGTGAGACTCTTACCTCCAATAAACTAGTCAGAAAACCAGAAGTGGCACTGTGGCTCAAGTGGTAGAGCACTATCCTTGAGCTAAAGAGCTGAGAGACAGCTCCCAGGCCCAGAGTTCAAGCCCTACCACCAACCAAAAAAGACACACTTCAGAGAAATGTTTCATTTTTAAGGATAAAACAATATGAAACAGAAAATGGCTTTAGTGGAATATTTGCATAAATGATTAAAAAAGAGGTAGAAAAAGGTATTAACTTCCTTTAGCTAGCACTTTACCATTTGAGCCACAGCTCCCCTTCCAGTTTATTTGGTAGTTAGTTGGAGATAATAGTCTCATGAACCTTCTTGCCCAAGCTGGCTTCAAAACACAATCCTCAGATCTCAGCCTCCTGAGTATTTAGGATTAAAAGTATGAGCCACTGATGCCCTGCCTCTTTCTGGCAAGGAGGCAAGAAAGGAGAAAAAGTAAGAAGTCTACAGAGCATCTTTAAGCAAGTTTCTCTCACTCTGAAATATAATGAAACTTAAGCACTTAAAAAAAAAGTATACCATGAAGCCATTGTTTAGTGAAAGCTATTTCCTTGAAGCCCTAGGTTATTTCATATATATATATATATATATATTGCATATATATATATGTATATAATATACAAACATGTTCTTTGACTATATATACATTATATTAAAAAACAAATCTGTTCATCAAACTAAGAGATTTCCAGAAAGAACTCTTGAGTGAAAGCAATAAGACATTTTATCAAAATAGGATAATATTCTCGTCTCTATAGAAGTCAAAAGTCCTTAGTTTACTTACATGCTTAGGGTCTTTGGGATCCAGGCTCTCTATAGTTGTTTGTATATCTTCGATCTCCTTCTGCTTTTCAGCCATTTCTTGCCTTTGCTTTTTCATCTGCATTTCTAGATCCAGAGCTTCCTGGCGTAATTTATTCAACAGTTGTATTCTACCACTCAATTGCTTGAAAAGAAGGTCTTTTTCTGTTTCTGAAATCTAAGCCACCCACACGGCAACCACACAAAATTAACAAAGAACAGCAACAAAAATGTGTACAACAACTACAATTTAAAAAAGTATCCAATGTTATATCAATTTGTTTTTAAAATAAAATGTGGGGCGTAACCTAGGCACTCCACGTATACCTTATGCTTTTAATGCTAGTTATATGCAGAAAATCTTATTTTGCAGGTTTATGAAAATTAATAATTTAGTAACAGGCACAAGTAAAAGTTGTCATTTTACTTAGTACAAGAAAACTGTAAAATACTAAATTAAACTATAATAGTAAAGATAAATGAGTTTATAATGTGCCAGGCATTGTTCTAAACTGTAATTTGCTTTAAATTTTAACTAATTCACTCTACATTTGAACCAGCATAATTTTAAATCTGACTTATTTAGGTGACCCTGGGGTTTGAACTCAGGGCTGTGCACCTATTGTACAGGGGCTTTACCACTAAACCATGCTTCTAGTATTGGTTAGCACTTCTTGCCAGCTTGGATTGTATACCTGAACTGCAATCTACCTATGTTTCACTTCCCACTCTAGCTGGGATGAAAGGTATATATACCATGTCCAGCTTCTTTCACTAAGATGTAATCTCAAGGACTTTTCTGCCTACCTTTGCCCGTGACCTTGATCCTTCTGATCTCAGCTTCCCAAGTAGCTAGGATTACAACAAGGAATAAACCACTGGTACTCAATTTATTTCCATCTCCAAAACACACAATGTAGAATATATACTTATCCTGTCTGGACATAGTGACATACACCTCTAATACCAGCTTTTTGGGAGGTAGAGATAAGAGGATCACAATTTCAGGCCAGTCCAGGCAAAAAGTTAGCCAGACTCACTAGCTTAACAAATAAACTGGGCATGGTGGTTACTGCCTGTAATCCTGCTATGAAAGTACTTTTGCCTAAGCAAAAGTAAAGGACCCTATATAAAAAACAAAGAAAGGAAAAAAGAAAAGAAAGGAGACACAAAAAGCAAAAGGCTAATGGCATGTAGAATGTTTGCCTCATGTAAAAATGAGGCCCTTAGTTTACCTAGTACCACCAAAAAAAAAGTACATTTATCCAAGTTATACAGGTCAAGAAGCTTATATACTCTATCTGCTACTTTGAACAATTTTTAGCACAGAAATTTACGTAAGTGTAGAAATGTTTCTCAAAAATCTGTTATTAAAGTATAAAATAAGATGAAAATAAAAGTATGAGGAGCTCTTCAGCTTTTGTTCGCCATCGTGATTACTGTGCCTTCCAGAGCTTCTCATCATGTCTTCTCACAAGACTTTCAGAATCAAGTGGTTTCTGGCCAAGAAACAAAAGCAAAATCGCCCTATTCCCCAGTGGATTCGGATGAAAACTGGTAACAAAATCAGGTACAACTCCAAGAGAAGACACTGGAGGAAAACCAAGCTGGGTCTTTAAGGATTGCTTCAGATGCCCACATATTTATGCTCTACCATGAACCAAGCTGAAACGTCAGTACTGCCTGGACTGACAGTTGGGCATTTTTTAAATGGATTTTTCTTTGGTTATTTTAATAATGGGCACAGTAATAAACATGTAATAAATATTACATTTGAGAAAGAAGTATGGAAGGAAATGATGAATATTGATGAATATGCAATTAATTCCCCATGATTGTAATATTTTTTTAATCAGGAAAAAAATTTAAGAATTCCCTGTTACGGCTGGGAAGGTGGCTCAGTGGTAGAGCACTTGCCTCGCATGCATAAGGCCCTGGGTTCGATTCCTCAGCACCACGTAAACAGATAAAGCCAGAAGTGGCACTGTGGGCTCAAGCTGTCGAGTGCTCACCTAGAGCTGAAGAGCTGAGGGGCAGCGCCTAGGCCCAGAGTTCAGGTCCACGACCCACAAAAAAAAAAAAAAAAAAGAATTCCCTGTTACCTGGTAAAGTCATGTCATACTATATTGTAAATTACAAAAAAAAAAAAAAAAAATTTTGGGAGGGTCTGGTGGTGGGGCCTGAACTCTGGTCCTGGGCGCTGTCCCTCAGCTCTTCAGCTCAAAGCTAGCGCTCTACCACTTGAGCCACAGCGCCACTTCCGGCATTTTTTTTCCTTTTTGCTTATGTGGTGCTGAGGAATCAAACCCAGGGCCTCATGCATGCAAGGCAAGCATTCTCCCACTGAGCCACCTTCCCAGCCCGTACAAAAAATTTTTATTGAGATTTTTTTAGTTTACTGATAAGAAGTAGGCTGAAATTTAAATATGTTAGCAGTATAAGAAAATACAATATCTAGGCTATTTTCCTTATCAAAATTTTTCTTAGAAGAAGAAAGAAGGATGGCCAATAGACACATGAAGAAATGTTCAACATCCCTAGCCAT